CAGATACAATGCTGCCGTTAGTATACAATATTCGGAAATAGAATTGTAAATATGTATGTGTTATCTTTTTCATTTTGTTATTACTGAATTGTGATAACACGTTAGATTGCTTTCTGCAAATGTGTTGAGTTTGGACCGAAAATCGTAAATATTTTAACGATCTTATCAATCCGGCTTCATGTGTTCCAAGCAGTTGATATATATACATAGATATGCTTTGTTAATAAAAAGTCTATTACACAGTAATTTCCGTTATTCAAAACAACTGAAACCGGCATAATAATCGGCAACACAAAAAGTGGAGTGTTTTCCGTTATTATTTTGAGCCCCACATTTCAATTGTTCTTAATCTATCAACCTTATACAATCAATGAAATATAAAATTTCACGAGCTTATCGTTACGGTGGATATTTATAGGAAGAAAAATTTTATTGGCCAGCATAACGGTATGACGTCAAAGAGAGAAGAAATCGTGAACAAAAACAAAAAATGCAAAAATTCAAACAAAAGAGGGACCAGCGTGCGCTTAACCAACCATAAGCCATTTAAAGCACCCACCGAAAGCGAAACAGTTGGCCAAATAAAATGCGTTGGCAACATCTACACGTACAACAATGCCGACAACCGCAAACGTCTGCTTGCCGCAAAAAAGTGCGAGAAACGCTGATTTACTGAATGAAGTTGAAACGTTGAATCGCCGCAATCGTTTATTATCATCAGACGGTGGCAGACTGTCGCAATATAAAAAAAAAAAAAAAAAAATCAAAAAAAACGAAGAAAAAAGATAAAATGTGTGATGAAAAAAGAAAACAACAAGAAGAAATACACAAAAATACTGTGCAAAAATTTCGAGCAATTGCGACAATTGCAGCAACACAAATCGCCGCAGATCGAAAGCAGCTCTGCGTCGCTAGCATCAAGTGGCAGACAGATAGACAGTTCTTCTTATTCTAAATGCCGTTTTCGCTGTTTATGTCTATCCTTCGAGTAACATTATCAAAACAAGAAATGTTTTATTGAAACAAAAAACAAAAGCAACAACTAACTGCCTACTAAGGCCTAAGGGAGTTTTTTATGCCAGCGCCTTTCTTCACTTTCCGAATTTAGTTTTCATGCTTGCCCACTTTGCCAACTTAGAAAAACAGACCACGCCTCCTCCAACGCGTCAGCGCAGCGTTGCAGCGCCTAAAAATAGATCAAGCTATTTATGTTCCACTCGTAGAATACGAAAGCCCAACAACAATACCAGCAACATCGTCAATACGCTGGGGCATAAAATCTCATTTTTGCAAAAATAAGTGTACGACAAATGCTGACGCAGTCATGTGCCTGCACACCCATGGCAATAGCAATAACAAGAACAGCCACAACACAAAGCACAAAACACTGCAATGTGACGATCGTCATCATAGTCGGCGATCAGCCAAGAAATCGCAACAGTAATAACAACTGAGCTGCTGTAGTAGCATCATCGACAACATTAAGCGCACAACGATGGCAACAGCAACAACAGCAACAACAACGACAATAAGAAGAAAATTACGCCACAACATCCCGCCTTGCTATGCGCGCCGCTTATTAGCTTGCCTGTTGGCTGGCGGCTTGCAACTTTATGCGCGCCCCCACCCCCAGCCGGCGCAATTCTGTCGGCCCCAGCGGATACTGAAAATTTTTGGTTATTTTTAACTTTGCATTGCGACGCTTGCTGCGACGGCGTTGCGCCGACGAATATGTTGCCACTGCAACGTTTCAATAATTTTCCCTCATCGCGCATTCGTCGGCAGCTGTACGTGCGTGTGTGCGTGCTATTTTTGCGAAAATTTTACAAAAACAATTTTGACTCGCTTACGGTGGTTTCAAGGAGGAAAAAGCAGCGACAATGTTGTGCTATGCTGTGCTATGGATGCTCCTCAGCTATTTATGCGCGCACCGATATACGCGTGTGCATTTACGCAAGTGAGTAATATGTTACATATTGTGGTTGGTATTGTTGTTGTTTTTGTTGTTAATTTGTATGACGCGCTGGCACGGCGAGAGCTGCAGCGGCCACAGTTAGCCTCCCAGCCGGCACAGGTTTATTGCTGCTTGTTATTATTGTTGGTATTTTCGTTTTTATTACTGAATGTGTGTGCACTAGTTGTTGTTATTGTTGTTGTGCAGTACTTTTTTTGTTGTCACAGTTGAAAATAATTTTTGTTTACTTCTTTCTTGTTTTTATTAACAATTTCTCGTTCCTTTCGTTGAAAAGACGTCAATGAACGAGGAATGATCTTAAGATTTCAGTGAAATTTCTGTATGAAAAGCACGAATTTGCGGGTTTGTATACAATTATGCATAGGCAAAGTTCTGCTGATGGCATTTTTGAAAATTCCTTAACAAATTTCACTGAGATTTTTCAATGTTTTGTCTATTGTTACTGAAAAATGTTTGAATTGATTTATTATGTTTCCTTTTTAATCCTTCCTTATTTATTCCTTAAAAGCAACTAAATTCAAATACACTTAGAATATTTTACACTTTCTGCTTTAACACAGAAGACGATGTTCAGCTGAAACTGTGGGGTATTTATCAGTGTTTACAGGAGTGTGTTTTTGTTACTGTTTTCCAGGCTTGAGTATCTTATTTCCCGAGGAAAAGAGACTTTTATTTTTAATATATAATATATACCGGGTGTACCGGTTAAAACGATATTTTGTGCAAATGAATTACTAATTTTAATTGAGAAAATAAAAAAATGTATTCAAACAATTACTTTGATTGTATCCTGAACCGATTTTGCTTTGTGTGCCGATTTTGCATTGTCGTGTAACAAAATTACTGTGCTGTATCTTGTGGCCCATTCTTGCCGTTTTTCGATTAATGCATGGCTAAAATTGATCATTTGTTGTCTGTAGCGATTAGTATTATCAGTTTCACCAGGTTTTAAAAGCTCATACATAATATACCACACCCTTCTGATCCCACTAAACACAGAGCATTGCCTTCTTACTGAATCGATTTGTTTTTGCAGTCGATGTTGATGGTTGTCCCGGATTAACCCTTGATTTTCTCCGTTTAGGATTCTTAAAACAAATCCATTTTTCACCCCTAGTGACAATTCTATGCAAAATTGATTTTTTTTGGTGTCTTTGAAGCAAAATTTCACAAGTGTTTTTTCAGTTTTCCATTTGTGTTTCATTCAATTTCCCATAGATTTCAAACGGTCTGAAATTGTTTGTTGTGTAACATGGCTGCCATTTACTTTTGACTCAAAGTATCATCTTCATCCAATATTGCTTGCAGTTCGGCGTCTTCAAACTTTTTTGGTGGTTTTCACGTTCTTCATTTCTCACAACAAAATAATTATCTCTGAACCGTTCAAACCATCTTTTGCATGTTGTTTCTGATAGAGCATGATCACCATTTGCATTTGGGTTTGGGCAAATTGAAGAATTATAAAGCCTTGTGACAAATTAAAATTTTGGGAGGCGATCGCATGTAAACAAGTTCAGGTTTTCAACATATTACATTAAGTTTACGAACACTAAGTTTCCCAAAAAAAAATTTAAATAATTTGAGGAAGATTTCTGAATTAACTGTTAATCGAATATAAAAAACGCAAACATGATTTGAAAGCGATTATAAAAATCAAACAAATCTCATCAACTTATTGCATTTCCACGTTATTTCAAATTTCGTTCAAAAATACGTGAAATATTTATTCAATATCGCCAAGCGAACGACAAAACGTTCGCGACAAATCAATAAGATTGCGATAAGAGTTAACAGCCAATAAACGTATGTATGTACAAGTATGTACGCGCATAAAATGAATGAATGTGGAAATATTTATCATGCCTACACCCGTCCACACATAACTACATACATACGTATATATTGTATTTTGATATATTATACATGCTTAAATATATATATATGTCTATATATACATACGTTCGTGTGTGTATTATCGTGTATGCCTGTGTTTTTACGAATGAATGAATGAATTTTTATAAACGACCACTTCCGCCCCCCAGCTTCTACGCCTGCTCGCCATCGTTAACTCGATCAGCAACGGGCGACGGTCCAATGTGATCGTGGCAGTAATGAAACACACACATAATCAGCGACCACAAACAAACCAACTGACATACATACTCCCTTCATATGCACTTTGGAGCGTTGAAGTGTTGAGAGATGTTGTGAGATGTGAGAGGAGGCGCGACGCGGCCGCAGTCGAGGTCAAAAGATTAGTGGATCGTGTCGTGTGTGCTTTGTGGAGAGGAGCACAAACGATTGTGGTGATCGGCGCACAAACAAGTATGCATGGGCTTGTTTCATACAAACAAACATCAGTGCATATAGGCAATACATTATTAGTTAGCTGCGCATGGCAACACCGGATGTGAGACGGGCGTTACAAATGCCTGGCATACAATTTTCTGATTTTACTCGAGTAAATATTTAAGATTTGGAGTGAAACTATGTTTGAGTGTAAAGGCGGTTAGAATTAAATGAAAAATTTCGAACCGCAATCCTATTGAACATTTTCAACTTGTAAGGTCTTTTATTTAAACGCATGAAAAGCTAAAAACACAAAATTTGTATGAAATTTAGTTTCAAATACAAAAATCTACTTGTATATATAAAATTTTGTTTTACACAAGTAATGCTTTTCAATAGTGACTATTAAAGGTTTCCCGATCATAAAACGCTAATAATAATAGACTAATGATATGGAATTTTAATTTTTGTTTGGACTAGCCGTACATATACAAAGGTTCGTGAAAACAAATGATTTCCTGTGTCCCTTCTAAAAAAAAAATTAGAAAACCTGCGTTTGCGTCAAAAAGAAATGATTTTAGTTGTAAACAAAAATTAGTTTTGATTGTAACATACTACATACACTATCTATCACGATTGGAGCGACGCGGAAGTTATGCCGAAGAATTCTTAAATTTTTGGCTTCTTACTCGGATAATATTATTTTTCATTTACGAATTTTCAATTGCAAACTTACATCAAATGTTAAAAGCAATCCAGGCGTTGTTATACAAAGCACATTCACAAGTTTTTATAGTAGTTAATGTTGGTATATGAAACAATCACTAAAATCCTTGCTGAACCTCTGACGGAAAATATTTCTACACAATCTCTATTTTATGAACTTTTTCGAATCGTTGGGATTTTTCTAGAAAAATATTTTGCACTTTTTCTCCGCAACGGCGAATGAAAATTATATCAAACAGTAAAATTGGAAAACGATGGATTTATGCATGAACTTAATATTTTTTCAAGCACATCCGTATTTTTTTTTTGCTTTCTGGTGTCAATAATGCTTTGACACTGTTTTCATAAATAATTTGCTGTGCAAAAACTTTTTGCTGATAACAGATTTTTGAAATATGTACGTGCTTAATTTTATTTATATTTTCAATTTCACAGAAAAACTCGCGACGTACGTTTTTCGGATGCATATACGTATGTATGCATGTATAGGTAATATTATGAAAATTTCGTTTAAACTGGCAATTTTTTAAATTCTTTATGTTTCTCTTTTGCGTGAATTCATGTGTTTTGTTTTCACTTTTCATACACTTTGCTGCCATGCAGCTTGGATTATTACTTTAACTTTGGCTTTTGCCAGCTGAGGAAGTATCTAAAAATATACATTCAAAAGCATGATTAGAAACCTCGACGAAATTTTTTTACATGATTATTGGTGAATCAAGAGCATATTTGGTATTCCAGAATATTAAAACTCTCACTTGCTTTCCAACCAACTGCCCAACGAATTCGAGCGTATATTTTTCAGGAAATTTAAATTTTTTAAAGCGCCCACTTTACAAACGAGTGTTGTTTTATTTATTAATTTCTTACTTTCGGTCCTGAATAACGGACAAAAGCATACCTCTTACAACAACTTACGCAAATACATATAGATTATAAAAATTTTATTTTTTGTAATATTTAAGAACGCACTTTATTGTTACTTATTAACCGCTTTCAGATTTCGTGATTTTCATATATTTGCACTGCACCTTCATCAACACATCACACAGTCCGTTTGAATATTTTCAATATTTTCATAACGAAACTTGTTAATTTGTATTTTTTTCGAAAATCTAATTCGATTTTGTTTTCAATGAACAATGCCTTAACGTTCGATACGAACTCGAAAAATGTATAGAAAAAAATTGGTATTGAAAATATCCGCACCGTTTGATCCGTTCCACACGCTTATAGTCTGATCGCACGACGAGCGCTACGTTTGACGAGTTTTTAACTCACAAACTTTTTTAAGCGAAATGAACTACGCTAATGTGCGCGACGAGCCGCCAACCGACAAAATTTTTGCCTTCTCGCTGCTAATGCCCACATGCCATCTATCCATCACCTATACCAACAAAGCAGTGCCGACACGAACGAACACCACACACTAACCGCGTATACACTGACACAGTGGGCGAAGAGCGATAATGAGCGCGGAGAGTATTGGTTTCAGTTAATTGAGTAGTTTGAGTGGAAGAACTCAAAAACCGCTTCTCTTCGAGTTTATTTAGCCAATTGGCAAGACTTTTAGTTCAAGCAAATCTGACTCAGCCTGCGGATCTTGAGTAAATTACTTAGCCTCAATTGAGCATATATAGTGCTTATGAGTGAGCGACTTCTCACTTATGCTTTGAACACAAAGACGACTGCACGACAACGAAATTTTCTTGGCGAATGTACACAACTTCGTTGTTGGCGTACTGAAACTATTCACTTGAAAACAATTTAAGTATTTTGTTCAAAGTGAAATTTTCGTGCAATCATATATATATATATATCATTATATATATCACTGCGATTTTATGCCTCTGTGGGTAAAATAACATTAGATTTGTTACAGCTTTGAATAATTTATATTTTACATATTAGTGGCAACACTACAGCTACCCATTGTCGTCGACAAAATTAGAGATGGTTTTAATTTAGCGACAGCGACAACTACAGGCCTGCTGCCGTGAAGTCATGCTGCTGTCTAAATAACTGTGCCCATAAGAAGTGTGTATTTCAACATTTGACAGATGTCGCCTGTCGCTTGTCGTCGTCTATGTGTTCGGCGTTTTACAGTTTCTGACTCGTTGAGTGTTAAATCCAATTGTGTTTGTCGCTCTGTGGCTACTACCGGTCTTTTTCATTAGTGACTGCTTATGTCGGTATGTTGGCATTCGCCCACTTGCGGCGAATTCATTTCAAAATGAATGAAATTTAATGAATGCCGGTGCCATCGAACGATCACGCCGATAGCCACCAACAAAAACTTTACCATTTTATGAAATGAAATGAAAGTACTTCGTGTAGTGTTGATCGGGCCAGGCGAGGTACCCCTGTATGCCATACCTGTTTACATTGAAATCCATAGGATGTAGATATGAATGCGTTGTTATATGTAAACAACCATGACCAATTCGCTGGAAGTACGTATCCAATTCGCCTCTTTCTATATATACATACATACAATCATACCATAAATAAATGCAAATGTCTGAGAAGTTTTGCTTCGATTCATTTTTCCGCTGCTGTTTCAATACCTCTTGTTTTTGCCTCTTCCTTAGTTCTACATATTTCTGCCTACATTTTTCGAGTATCTTTTTTGCTTTTCATTTTTATTATTTCGTTTTTGTTAGTTGAACGAATTTTTCATTCTCAAATTTTTGCTGTGGCGGCAAGAACCGAATGATCAACCGACCAGCCATTATACGGTCGGTCGGTTGGTTAGTCGGTCGGTCGGCTGGTGCTCGGATTCGAGTATACATGTGTGTTGTATATGGTACATGCATACGTAGGCATGTTGCACATGTATGTAATTAGGCGAACGAATGGGGCCGGATGAGCGTCTAAACAGCGGTACATACATACATATATATGTATGTTGTATGTGTATGGGGCGTATATGTAGTCGAACTTACCAACTGACAGCAATAAAAGTCGACATATCGGGTCGATAGTTGGACCAGCACACCATCGTTTCTATCTATCCATGAATTTATGTAAGTTCGTACGTCTGTATGTTTGGTTTGTATGTGTGCATATGTTGAAAAGTGATTATGTATTTGGATTTTTATGACTGCGTGTGTATGTGCTTGAGTGATCTTAATGTGAGCATGTGTATGCCGCATGCTGACTACACGCACACACACACTCGTATATACGTTATGCACATGCGTGTGTGTGTGTATGAGCGCGTAGTTGGGTTTGCAAACTGATGATCGTGTTGTTAATCGTGTTGATCGTCCTCATCCGCTATCCCGCTCGCTGTATTCGCGACAGTTGAAATGCTGAATGAACTGAATGGGCAATTTTTGCGCTTTCAATTTCGCTATGAACATACACACGCACTCGAATATATGCATACATGCATACATATATAGATTTGGACGTGTATAATTTCATGTTTGCTTTTACGATCTACACGATCAGTTGACTATTCAGCAGAGGATCAACAGTGAATCGCTAACTCGCTCAAATCGCACAATTCTGAATATTTTGTATACGAATATAGTTTCTACATATGTGGGCACATAAATATGTAGACTTATGTGACCGCATGCACTCTAGCTTATTTAGTTAAGTCGAGTTGAGGCTGACTGAACCGCCATCTCCATGTTGATCAGCGCGGCGCATCGTAATCTGTGCGCTGAGGGATCGCGAACCGGATCGCTACGCAGTGACAGCTGTGGTGACTTGTTAACCAAGCGTGGTCCACACTCAAACAGGGCACATGGCGGACGTGCAAATTAATGACGACTATTGTTGTAAAAATGCTCCGACTATTTAAGCATAAATTCACATGTGCTAGTATTGGGGGTCGTTGATGGGTAACTCTAGCGGTCCTAGTCGCCTAGCTTTACTGCCATTGTCCCCTATTGGCTGTAAATGTGGGGTTTGTGGCGCAAGTGGGCAAGTACATGTAAAATTGTTGTCGCCAACTTATGTGCGCTTTGCTGCAGCCTCTAGATCGACTATTTCCGTTTTTCATTACCACTATATGGCACCCTCGTCAGTAAAACCATTTTCATTGCTCCCGCGCAATTTTCAATTATTTTTCATTATTACATAGATTATTATGTAGATAAATAGTATGTACACATTTATGTATATGTGTGTGTCATTAACTAATTCCTATATAAATACATCTATATAAATGTGTATGTACATATGTATGTAGTATATACATATGTTAACTTTCTCGCATGCCTTTGTAGTGTTTTTGCTTTCGCAACTTTGATTTTTTTCTCAGCTATTTTTGTACGCTTTCACGATCGTTGCGTTATTATTATACATTTTGTTGTCTCATTAATTTTTTATTATTTTTAATCCAATCTTTCTTATTTAATCGTTTTATTGCTTTGAATTTTTTTGTTTTTGCATTGTTTTTGTTCCAATCATGTACACCGCATATTTGCTTCAAATGTTGCTGAATATAATTTAGCTTTTTTACGTGAGTGTTGTTGTTTGTGTTGCTTTCATTTGTCAATGAAATGAATGAATTTGCACTTGTGCCATGGCGATGGCGATGGCGAAAACGAAGGAACGTTTCGGTGGGCGGTGATGAAGGAAAGCAAGTGAGCGGACGACACTGAAGCGTCGGAGAGTGAGCTGATGAGTTTTTTTTTTGTGGGGGAAGATGTTTCATTAACAACTAGTTGTGAATATATGTAGGTGGGGATATAGAAGGTAACACAGTCATATACATAGTTATTTGACTAGAAGTGAGGGAGTTATATGTATGTGGGTACAAATATTGTAGAAGGAATTTTATATTTTTAAAGAAAAATGGATCATTTAGGCACCTCTAACACACTGTTGCGCCTTACAGCCCGCTTTGCCGCTTTCAGAACGTCGAGCGGTAGAATTTTAGTTCACTTTTCCTGGTGTTTGATTTCTTTTAGGGTCATGAAGCTTTCGTCGCGTGTTTATGAATACTTTTGAATATGTAATTAATAACTGACAGTCTTCGCGTTGCATTTGTTTTTGTCCCTGTTAATTTTTTACTTCACTTTGACTCTCCAAATTTTACACAAGATGAATTCTTCAGGGAAACGGGAAAACCATAACAATAACACACGAGCACTAGAGTATATCGTTTCACCAAAAACCGTTATTTACAACGAAAATTAATTTCGCATAACACAAAACAAATGAACGTGTATATTGTATATTATTGCTTTTGACTTCACTTATTTGTTAGTGTCGCGTAAGTATCTCCATATCCACACACACACACGCTCGGAACGACGTTAACCAAACCATCCACTCCGCCGAAAATATCTCAAGCAACTAATGTGTCCGCAAGCAGCCCAACCGAAACGCCAACACACGCGCTGCACTCAATTTGAGTGAGTATAAAGCGGAGAGAGCACACCAACACATGTGAAATGAGACTGGCATACACTCTTGCGCAAACACACACACACTTATGTGGACTTGACTACGTATAAATCGAAAGGTAATGCTACTGACATGAATATACATTTCTACATGGAAGAGTGTTCTCGCGCTGGCTTGGGCATGTGTTGGTTGGTGCGGCGAATTCAGGCACGGCGAATTGCATGCTCTCTGCGCGTTCGTGTTTGCCGATGTGTTGGCGAGAGTGGGCCCTCATGCTGTGCATCGGATATTATTCATTCATTCATTCAACTTTAGGCGTGTTTTCCTTCATTTCATTTATAATTATTTTTATTGCCTTTATTTTTTGCAGCGAATTCAGCACTAACGGCTACAAAAGCAATCGAGTTCAATTTAATTTATTTCTACCTACCTACAATACTTTAATATTTGTTACTAACAAATACACTCAGCTACAAGCAACACTGTTTGCTAACTGCTAAACATAGACCGGTCGAGGATTTTAATCAGAGTTTTGCATAATTCTAATTGGTTTACTTTTATTTTTTTTTTATTTATTATTGCTTTTACTTTACTGCTATTTAAGGAAGTTCATTCACACATTTTACACTTTTTTAGCAAATTTCAAAGCGCTTCTCTCGAACAGTTTATCTTCAAAATTTAGTGTGTCACAAGCTACAGTATCTAAAAAAGACTTCGAGCAACTGTGAACGAAAAATAAACATTCGTAGATCAGATACGTTATTCGATTGATACCCGAATGCTGCATTTCAATATTTTTGATAAAATCTTAAATAATAAATTTCAAACTTGGAGGGTATTATATTAAAATAGTTGCTCTCTACCTCGGTGGATAATTTTGGTCAGTAATTTATGCATTGCGAACGTTGCTGGAGCATTTTGCAAAGACTTACAATGCTGTGAAATGTTGTGATCTTTTTTCAAAGTATTTCATAAGCTAACCCAGGAGACAAGATCAAATCTAAAATTTGCACGTATTCGTCGAAAATAAATTATTTATGCATTATTTGCATGGGACAACAAAACCTTGCCCAGTCGACATCTACTACCTTAAATCTCCAGTTAGGCTCGAAACGCGAACACTCAAGCGCTTTAAGTGAATATTGTTTTTTTAACTACTGTGTTTAGGGTTCTGAGTTAAAATTACCTTACGAATTTTTGATTTTACTGGTAAATGTTTAAACAGCTCTCATCGAATTTCTAAGAAACCATTTTGAAATTGAGTGAATGAAGCTTAATAAAAGTATTATTCAGCAAATCGACTCTTGGACTTGTAGTGATCATAAAATTGGGATTGACACACCCTATTTCTTGGTTGGTAGTAAATAAGCTTTCAAAGAGTGATCGTAAGGTTACAAATGGAAAAGCATAAAAATGAAAAGAATATTAACTAATTGTTCATGACCAAATAAAAAATATATATTTTACTGAAATTCGTCTTATTTAGTTCAAAACAGCTCCGAACACTAAGCGCACTCATTGTTTGTAGCACCAGAATTAAAGTTAGCGCCTATTACAAGTCTTAAACCAAATTTAGCTGACTTCCTATGTGCATGAGTAAGGTTCGAAACTGGCTAACGCAAAACCTTTGGTGCTTTTTGTAAAACAATTGCTGAAAATAAAGAATGTACATGAAAAGAGATTTGAGTTTCTAATAACAAAGCCCCCACAAGCAATAATTAACCCAACGATAAAAAATTAGAAGTACACACACCAACATACACACGAGGTTAGGTCTGTAGATATATGTTGCAGTGACGTTTTCAATGACTATAACACACCGGATATGTGTGATTACCCCTATACCAACCGAATGAGTTAATAAATACAGATTGCCATAATGGCCCCAAACGGTTCTAAGCACTAGTGTGGAGCGAATGTGAGCAACAAGGGGCCATTGCGCGCTACATATGCCCAACGACGACCACAGTTACCATATGCGTTTAAGAAAAAGTAAAAAAAGTGTTTATTGTATATTTAGGGTAGCTTCCATTTCCGGTAAGACATATGCGTAGACATATCTACATATAAACGCCAACCAATCGGGATCGTGCGAGAGGTGAATCGTACGCACATACCGAAATGTGAGCGCATTATCACTAAAATTTTGAAATATGTAAATGTATATGAAAAACTTATTCAAATATTATTTAAGTAGTTATGTAATATTATAATAGACATGGAAGTAAAATACACACACATACATATATTGTGTCAATTCTGATGATTAACGAGAGAAGCACGATAAACGCTTTCCTCAAATAAAAGTAAATGTTCGAACTCAAAAGAACACGAAGGAGCACATACTTAGTGGCAATTGTCTAGGAAGCTTTCCCCGCTGACACACCTGGCAACACCGTTCAGTGCAGCCCCAAACCTCGCTGCCCACGTCACGCCGCCAAGCAGTAATTCTATTTCGTGCGCGCGTTTGTTTTACGTTTATTTGCACACATTTAAATACATACATATATACATACATGTGTACACATTTGCCACAATATTTGAACGCATGACCATAAACGTTTTATCTACATATACATACATATGTATGTGCGTTCGCTTGTATGTTGGAAACGGAAATTGAAAATATGCCAACTTGTGGGCGCTCACTCGCGTACACTCGAGCGTGTGGAAGATTCGGTGGTCGGCGGTGGAGCGAGGCCCGCAACAGCAGCAATCACATACGAAAATATGGTCGTTCGCATCTATCGACACGTGTTTGTACTAATGTGTCTACATGCACACACATAGTCAAATGCATACAAATATCCAATAGCAACATTTATGGTGCGCTGCGGCGAAAATTTATTTATGCCGTCCATTCATTTAAATTTAAATCAAACAGTCTCGAGTGGCAGCGCGACAATGGCAACTATACGCCGACGGCAACGGCAACCGCGACGGCATCGGTAGTCGGTAAAGCTGTCGCGGCACAAGTCAGCGGGCACGATGCACAGCGATTGAAATCGAGTCGTATTGAGCAGACTTGAAGTTGTGGAGTAGTGTGGAGCGTGCAGTGGCATGCACCTACATATTTTCGTATGAACTCGCATGTGCACGTGTGTGTTTGTATGTATTTTCAGTTATAGGAGTATTTAGTACGTAAGACGCCAACGACGTTGACATATAAGACACAGCGAGGCGGTAAATGCAAGCACACACATTCACAAATTCACACACACTACAAATGCATATCGCTTACATGGCACACATACATATATGCGCCCATTTGGGTGCGCATGCATAAGATGCACTTGTGTGTAATTTGTAAAAAGTTGCGGTATTATGAGCGGAGCGTAAGTGGAATTACAAGTCGGAAAAGTTTGGAGAAAAACCACGTACCCCACACATACACCCGAACGGATATGCACATGTCCGTAGTAAGCGATTTGTGCATTCAAATCTCGCTGAACGCCGCCCACTACGTGCTGCACGAGCGTTTACTCGTGTAATCAGCGCTTATACGAGTACTACACCTTTTCTGTGTGTATGTATGTATGTTTGTGCGACAACGCGCTGCTATGAATGATTTCCAGAGTCGTGTCTTGAAGCGGCCTAGACCGTAGCCACCACTAGACAATAGCCAAGGCAAGTTGTCAGCCAAACAAGAAATTGTATTTTTTCCATCGATATTTTACAGGCGGCGAATTCAATGCGGCCACAGTGGCTCGTCAATGTACCAGTGACAATTGCAGTCGTTTAGACAATTCACATTTGTATATGAATGCATCTAGGGATGCGTGTGTGTGCACATGTATATATGTACGTTCAGTATTCGCGTGGCTAGAAGTGGTGTTGCAACTTTCTTCTTTGTTGCTGCTTTTGACTGTTGATTGGAATACTATTGCCGTTATTGTTGTTATTGCTGTCATTACAGCGGATGTCGAACGAGTTTTCCACGAACGGATATATTTATATGCATGTATAGATATGTGTGTGTTTGCTGTGGAGAAGCAGCCACATTAACATGTTGCCACAAACACCTACATACACATACACCAATGTATGTGCATATAGATACTCACATTTGTACCCACTTATCAAAAGTAATCGTAATCGCGCTATAGATAAAACGCTTAGAACGCTTTAGAACCCCTAATATCGATTTTGTTACGAGACATTCCCAAAATAAGTGAGGGTTTGCGGGTTGTTTGAGGGAGATTCTCACAGAAATTCTAAGTGTAGTAAATTCAACCTGTTAAAAAGACAACATAAGTGTATGCCAAGGGATTTGTGAAAAGTTATCTGTCAAAAATTTTTATATATTGCTCCATGGTTGTCATTCCGAACTGAGAGTTTCTGGCGTGTGGAGAAAAATTATTTGTAAACATTTGATTTGGGTTGGCAACGACGATCATTGTACCCGCAGAAAAAAAGTCTGATCTTTTGCTTGTTGGGTATTTACAGAACTTAAATGCTAGCATATACAAGTCAGACAACTTTTTTACATATAAATGCATTTACTCACACATTAACATCTATGCAAGCTTAAACAAGCTAATGCCTAGGTGTGTATGTATGCATGCGGTATATCTATGGTTCATGAATTGTAGTAGCTGAGGTTGTGAGTTTGAATTCTGCTGTCTTTCAGCTCTTGTTGTTTTTAATCATTACTATTGCGATAATTTGTTCTTGTTGTTGTTTCAGTCATCGTTCTCGATGCGGCAGCAGTCATCAATGCGGTTTTGATGCTGTCACGTCGCACTTTAAGCTGTTGAACTAGCCACTCAAATGAATACGATCTCTTCCAGCTTTCGACTGCCTACATACAGTCACACGAGCTTGCTACGGCTGAATTAGGTTGCTTTCAGTAAAGAGTTAAACAGAGCAGATTGCCGTATCATAGTCGGGTGTTGATCGAACTTGCATTTTCACGAGTTTGTAGCACCCATTGACTTAGTTATTGAATATAATGAATAAATGCTTATTTTTCTT